GGCCCGGCAGCCGCGGGGGGCCCGGCAGCCACAGCAGGACCGGCAGCCCGCTCCCCGCGCTCGGGGCGGCTGCGAGCCGAGGGAGCCCGTGGCCCCGCGTGGACGTCGCTCCCGGTGCTGCCGGGACTCGCTCGCTGCTCCGCTCCGCGCCTCGGAACACGCTGCTTAATGTGGCCTGTGGAACAAGGAGGAGGGGTGCGGCTGCCCGGACCTGGGCCCTATGGAATTCCTGATGCGGGAAGCGGGGGCCCACGGCTCTGCCCGGGGCCGGGACCCGCGCAGGGGCCGCCCTTCCGCGGGGGGCTCCCGCGATCCATCCCGCGGCGCCGGCACTGCTGGCCTGGCCGCACGGCGCTCAGAGCCGGCTTGAGTCACGCGGGAGCCGGCGCCTTTCCCACGGCGCCGCGGGAAGCGGGAGCTGCGCCCCGTGCGAGAGGCCTGACGGGGCGGTGATGCCGCCCGGGTCATCGCGGTGCGGCCGCTTCCCGGGCCAGGCAGCCGCGGCGCCGGGATTGGCCCCGGGGGCTGGGAAAGCCGGAATCCCACGCGGCCCATGGGCATCGCCTTCACCGGGGTCCAACTGCTGCCACTCACTAGCGGCTCCTATCCCTACGTGTTATCTCATGTCCTCCTATCCTTAGATGTTGTTTAATGCCCTCCTATCCATGGACGTTATTTAATGCCCTCCTATCCCTGGATGTTATCTAATGCCCGGGCACCGGAGTGCGTGGCCGGTCGGGGTGTCCCATGCCAGCCCTTTGGCTCCGCATGAACCTCCCGATTGGGATCTGCTGACGCAAGATGCACGGAGCCCATGGAGATGCCGGACGTGCAGCTGCTGGGCACGTTCCCGGGCACCCTTGGGTGCCGCGTCCGTCCCCGCTGCCCCTCGGGCCCCAGCGGGCGCTGCCGGGTGGCCCCGCTGCCCCGCCGGGCCCGGGCGCCGCTCCCAGGCCGCTCCGCTCTGCTCGGCTCCGCTCCTTGGAAGCGGCGGCGCGGGGCCCTCCCAGCGCTTCCTGCCGGGGGAGAAGAACTGGTGCAGCTGGTCTCCCGGCCGCCCCACATCACATATAATTGCCTGTTTTAATTAATAAGCTGGAGGCCGCTCAAAGGAAAGCGGCGCGCTGTGCTGCGCCCGCTGCAGGGATCGTCTGCCGGCCCCGAGCCAGCCGAGTGGCGGCGGATGCGGCCCCGGCTCCCCCGGAGCCGCCCGCGGGCAGATGGCGAGATTGGTGCCCCCCACCTTGCCCGCTCCCGACGGCTCCCAGAGCTTCTGGGCTCCACCAGAAATTTCCCTTTTTTTTTTTTTTTTTTTTTTTGCTTTGTGGATTCCTCGCTTTTCTTTTCTTGCACTTAATTTAAACCATTGTTTGTCAAGGGAGGTTTTAATGTAAAAAACATGTTTTGTTTTCTTCTGCTAGCTGCAAGCCGGGGCTGTGGGAGCCGTCGGGCTCCTTGCAGGGAAGGAGTCGCCGCCGGGAGGTCCCGCTCTGCCGGGGGGCCGGGATGGGCGCTCCGAGTCCCGGCCCGTGCGGCAGGGAGCCGCAGCTGCCCCTCCGGCACGGGAGCCGCCAGGACTTCCCGGCTGCAGCCACCGGCTCCGGGCCGGAGCAGGGACACGTCGCTGGGGCCCGGGACAGGTCCGCTCGGCCCAGGGCGGCCGGGGCCTTCCCGGGATTCCCGGGCATCCCGCCCGAAGGCAGGCGGAGGTCGCAGTGCCCAGCAGGAGACGTGGGCACAGCTCGGAGGGGCTGATCCGCCCGGAGCAATGCGCACGGATGAGCAGCGGGAGCGGGGCCTGGAGGTGCTGGCCCCACGTGTGGCTGCTACCCAGGAACAGGCAGCAGAACGGCCCGAGACTTTAATTAAACAGCTGGCCCGGGGCCTCGCGAGGGCTTTCCTGGTTAATTAACTGCAATTGCGCGGGATGCGAGCGCTGCGCTGAGCCCTGCAGCCCGCGACACGGGCTGCGGATCACGGGGCGACCGCGTGGCCCCCGGGGTCCCCCGAGCGGAGCAGGGAACCGGCCTCGTGCTCCAGGCCCCGCTCCGTGAGCGCTCACAGGGTGCGGGACACGGGAGAGCGGCCTGGAGCCGACCCGGACGCGCAGGGAGATGGGATCGGGAGGGGCAGGTCTTGGGAAGATCCCGCCCGGCCGCCCGCGCTCGGCGCACATGGAAGAGTCCCAGGACATGAAACGATGACGGGCAAGGAGGATCCAGCTCAGCGCTTCTTGGCACTTGTTCACGGCTTTTCATCTTCAAAGCTCCTCACGAGCATTAGCTAACTAATCCCTGCGCCCTTCCCGGGAGATAGCGCAGGATCGCGCCGGGGAGCGTTATCTCGCCGCAGCAGAAACCGAGGCACGGAGCGGTGACGCCGCAGCCCGGGGCGCGGGCGCGTCACGCCGGCGGACGCGGCGCAGGGCCCGGCGCCGCCGCTGCGGCCCCGAGCAGCCACCTTCCCTCCCGGCCGGAGCTCCACGGACACGGCCGGGAAATCCGGGCCCTGGGCACTGAGCCCGTTATCCCGCAGCGCCAGGGCCGCCCCCGGAGCTCCGCAGCTCGGGAGCGGCCGCTGCTCCCTCCTTCAGCACTGGCTGCTGCTGCCCCTGGTCTGCACGGGAGAACGATCCGAGTCCCATGGCCACGTGGAGCGTCACAGCTCCCAGCCCATTCCCTTTGCTCCCGGGAGCCACCTCTGCTTGGCCCAAAGGGACCTGCCCGGAGCCTCCCAGCAAAGCCCAGGCCGGGCGAAGCCTCCGCTCTGGCCCCTGGGCAGCCTCCCCAGCTAAGCGTCTGCTGGAAATTGCGGCTCTAATTGCCTCTGCGGAGTCTAATTAGCCTGAACTGCTGGGCGACGCACGAGCCGCTCCTGGAAGGCAGCTCGGGAGGGAGCAGAAGCGAGCGGGCCGCGCGGGGGGACGGGTGGCTCTAGGCCCGCGGTTGTGCCCAGGCTGCGGGCGGCCGCGAGTGGCCCCTCTGTGCCCAGGCCCCTCATCCCCTCCAGCCCTTCTGCCACACGGGGTAACTCCCCGCTTGGCTCCGCAGGGCTCTCCCGTGGGATCCCAGCTCGGGGCCGCGGCTCCACAGCCCCTGCCCTCGCACGGAGCGGGGGGGCGCAGCGCCCAGGGCCCCTCTTGCCCCCCTGCACTGCAAGAGCCTTTCCCTGGGGCAGTGCCCATCCCCGGGCGCCGTGCTCGGCCTCGGTGGCCTCCAGTGCAAGCAGCGGCGCCCGCAGCGGCGCCGGGGCCGCGGCGCAGCCC